TTTGTAATGTGAAAGATTAAATTCGGCGTTTTTTTAAGCATATTTTAAATGCCTCACATTTGTTGAAAAAACTCAAAACTAAAAGTTCATGCTATAGATTTTGAAAACTAGGTTCTAGTTATGGAAACTCCATAGCGGCCATTCAATGAAATTATATTGATCTCACGAGAATCACAAAAAATGGCAAAAATCGGGCTTCGTTTATTTATTTAACGCCTTTATAAAAACTAAATTTATTTGCGGCAAAATACAAAAATTGCATACGAACGCTGCACTATTCATTCTACATAAAAAATGCCAATAAACGTTTTTGTTTAAAATTATCTTGGCTACATATTTTATTTGAACCATTTTTTTCTAGGCGTACAGATTCTTGATAAATCGATTTTTTTCGTTTCCCCCCCTCTACGTGGGGGGTTTACAGGAAAGTTCGTGACCCAAAATTGACATTTTTGGCAAAATTCAGGTTGTTCGTATAATTTTTAGTGGTTCAGTGGCATTCCTGCTATATGAGACGGAAGCATAGACAAAAAATACTCCGATTACAGAAGTACAATCCGATTACTGGAAAGCTAAGCTATGCGATTTGAGTATTTTGAAGTATACTGAAGATTCATTGGACGGACCATGTCAGAAACGAATAAGTTCTAAAGCAAATGGGTATGGATGGAGAACTTTTAAGCAATACTAAAAATCCAAAACCAGCTTATCTTGAACATGTACTTATGCACAAGGGACATAATTTAATACAGCTGATAATAAAGGAAAAATTAAGGGAAGGCTAGGCTATGGTAGACGACAGGTGATGTGGTTAAGAAAAGACGAAGAGTGCACTGGCTTAGATTTCAACTCACTAATAAGTAATAAGAAATGTCTTCTGTTAAGAAGATATCCAATCGATATTTGTCGCCTTTTTCATTGTAAAGACTGCTTGCGCTTCTTAGTTGTACTTATTTAATCTTATTTAATGTTTTTTAACCAGAAATTTGTTTTTTAAGGCAGAAATCATTTGAAATAGTGAGAACAATAATGTCATTGGTGACCAAAATAGCAACAAGTACCGTCGAATGGGGTAAAACCGACAAAATTTGAGGTTTTTTTCATGTTTTCATGATTATTTTTGAATTGAGAAAGCTGCAAATTATATATGTTAGTATCTGAAGTGTCAATTAGTGGTTTTTCTTTTGAAATCATCCTAATAGTTTTTTTCTCATATATTTTCAAAAGGTGATCGGTTTTACCCCATAGATTGGGGTAAAACCAATCGGGTGTTGAATTGCGTTTATGTTGCTTTTAGGCAAGCTTTGAGGTAAAACCGATCACACAAAAAAAATTTTTAAACATTTTTTATGCAATAAATTGTAAAAATCAACACATGTTTTACTAAAGAACTTTATTTCAAAAATAAATATAAATTTGGGTTTAAAACATTGAAAAAACTTAAAACATAAAAGAAAACACTTATTTCTAAAAAAACAAAAGGAAGACGTTGGTTCTTTGGTGGTACATTGGTAATTTGGGACTTTCTAACTTATTCTAACGTAAGGTTGGAAATCCCCCTAAAAGTAAATGTTGGCGGGAACTATGAAGAGATCCTCGATTTCTTAATAAGCAAAGCAAATTTGTTTTTTTGACGACTTTTTCCTCAAGCGTTGAAATGTGATCTCCTCGTCAGATATATTTGTAATTTTAGCAGCAAAAAATCGATCTCTTTTGTTCAGAACAAATTTAATGACAAAAAATTCTGCTGAAAATGTGTATCATCAGAAACCTGGGGTGTGTCCTCTGAAATTTCCTCGTCATTTTCCAACTCTGAAAAACTTCGTGTACTTTTAACCTTTGCTCACTTTCAGAACCTTCACTTTCTTGTACAAGGTCTTTCTTAGAAATACTTTTTCCTGCTGCCACCTTCATCCTTTTACCTCTCTTAGGATTTTCAGTTGAACCTGTTCTTAGTTCTCTCAAATGATCGACAATGGTATTCGTCCATATTTGCTCGACTTTAGTCTCTTCTTGTTTGCTATTTTCGCTTTCTCTTTTTTTCAAATGTTGTATTTTTTTGAGCACTTGACCTGGATATAAAGGCACTATGCCACAAGCCTTAAAGCCTGCTTGGGTGTTTGAGGTTGATTTCAGACCCACTTTTTTTATTGTTTAGTTTAACAGTCTTGGAAAAACAATTTTGAGCAGGACACTCCTGTTTTTGATTTTCTAAATTGTGAGCACTTTCCTCCAAGTATTCTTTAAAGGTCGAAAATAGGTAACGACAAGTGGTTGTAATAAATCTGTGGAGTTTGAAGGTAAAAGTACAATTTTTATACCATTAGTTTCACATTGCTCGATAATATTGATTGTAAGATGACTGAATAAATTATCCCCTATCATTACTTTAGGGCCTTCTAAGTTTCTGAAGTAGGGCAATGCTATCAATAGAAACCAGTCTTCAAAAGTTGTGCTGTCAAACCAATCATTGTTCTATTATATCGTGCACCAGAAAAGCCTCCATCGGCCCATCCTTTATACATATGCTTTGCCTCGTACACTATATAAGGTAACAACAGTGTTCCATCACCAGCAACTGAAAACATAGCGCTAGTGCTCGTTTTCGACGTGTCCATCACTCGATGAGCGTGTTTTGATTATTTTCTGACCACGACTTTTACAGCTCCTGGATCGTCCGTGAAGTTGGTTTCGTCATAGTTTATCACATTTGACGGTGAGACCCCTTTCAGAGACTCTCCAAGATGACGAAAATACTCTTCAACTGTTTCATAAGTGACTGCAGCCCTTGTCCTTTTTGTATTCTCTGCCAATTTTACGGTGAGATCCTTACGTCGGTCCATAAATTTGAAGAACCTATCTGGTCCTGGTAAATTGTCTCTGAATCTTTTTTCTCTTCTTCCTGCTCTGTTAAGAAACTGCTTAACCATATATCGAATATCAATACTGTGTAGAGGATATCCCCAGTCCTCGCACACTAGTAGACACTCAACCAGCTTCTTTCTTCCAGTTCAGAAAGAACTAGTGGCGCTCCAATCTTGAGATGCCTCTTGTTTCGAATTTTTTCTTGTAAGGTATAAGGTATCAGGTACTCCATAATTCTCAGAGGCCTTTCTTATAGACATACTCCCACTCGCACCAGCTTTCAACGCTCGTTCCATATAAATTTCATTGTACTGTAATTTTCTTATTGGCCCTAACTTCTTATAGGTGCGAGGCATTGTCTGTAAACAAAAAAAATATATATATGTTAAAATCTTACACCAATTGAAGAGGAGCTAAGTGATCACCAAACCACCGCCACACTCTGTGCTGCCCATAACGTTCATATCCATAAGAATTAGGCAGGTACCATCTATAAAATAACTAGGGAATTGTTGGTCGGTTTTACCCCACAAATTTCAGATTTTACAGAAAAAATATATCAAAATTAACCCAAAAAGAAAAATCGCATAATTGGCCATGACAACTATTCTCTAAGAATTCCACAACAAAATAACACTTACCAGAAATGTTCTATAGTAATCACTTTTTCTGTAGACGGAAAGCTTTCCAAGTTTTGTAAAAAAAAACACCCGAATACGACGTTTTGTTTACTATAATAGTCTACACTGCAGCCACGCGACACTTTCAACCTGTTATTTTGAGCTCACTATGGCGACTGGCATATCCTCGGAAAGGTACGAAAGCTTGTTTGGCGGTAAATTCACATATACTATTAATCCTGAAAATATTAGGCAAAAAAACCTTAGCGATCGGTTTAACCCCAGGTTATTGGTTTTACTCCGTTCGACGGTACTAAAAAATATATAAATAAAAGATAAAACAGTTGGAGTACCTAAACAATATACCTACCTATATGCATCTTAGTACATCAGTACAAAAAGGTAGCAGGGGTAGTGTAGGAAACGACGGAAAATTAATAGCAGAAATGGACAATACTGACTAAACGGGCACCAGAAGTCGACGTTTTAAAGGGTAAGGATAAAAAAGAAGATCGTTTAATTTACAACTACTGATGTAGCTGAGATTTTATATCACAGCACAGTAGGTACTCTCTAATTATTTATTTACATGCTATAAATGAATAAATGCTAATACAAACAGCAGATACATTTTTCCGTTTTATTTTAACGTAACAGTTCATTTCCGCCTAAAAGTTCAAATCCTTGCAGACAAGAAAGTATTAAAACAAAGGAACTCTAATTGAAATATCCGTTTCCAGAAGACCAAACTTAATATTTCCTACTGACTACGTAAACATTAATAAGACTAATTTACTTTTTTATCCCACGCGTTTTTCAATGGAATTACATTCGGAGATATAATCATTCATGCGAGTTAAAAATATTTCATGACATGTAAAGAGTGTGGAGTGTTTAAAGGGGGAATGGGCAATATGTATATACAAAATGTATTCTAGGTATCTGCTGAAAGCTGAAACAGAAATCTTAAACACTTGTCTTAATGCAGACTTAACTTATTTGTTGTTTTGTTGTAAAGTTTACTTTTAAACCTTGGATAAAAGTATATCCTTTTAAGTTTGTATCCTAGGAAAAAATATATTTTAATATATTTAAATGGCACAACCAGCTTCTGTTATATATTAATGATATATAATTAAAAATCAACTTCATGTCATCTTAACAGATTTATTTGATCAGGAGAATATTTGAAAGTAGTTACATCAAATACTTTTTGGGTTCTAGAATTTAAACAAATATTATTATCCGTTCGTCCTTTCCTTGCCATTCTTCTATTTTGTGACTGATTTTTCTATTTTCACGAATAATTCCATTTTCTATTCAAATTCTTTATCCTTTATTCTATTTTACACAGTAAACCAATTATAAATTTGGAAAAATATTTTTGGAAAAAATTCTACAACCAGCTAGCTTCACACCACAAAATCCTAAAAAAAGAAGATTCAAAAAACAAAAAACAACGTGTTAGTTTGAGGTTAAAGATTTTGTTATTGTTTTTATCACATCACGTAATATAAAATATATAAATATTCTGTTAATTCAATGATATTAGTCAAAGAATATAGACGCTTAATATAATATTTATGTTTCAATTCTTTAGGATTAATATTTAAGTAAATGTAAGTTCTGCAAGATCTTTCCTCTTGTTTATTTGTGTAAACTTTATGTTTATTTTACAGGGCTAAAAACTGATAAAGTATGGATCAAATTAAACAGACAAATAATAAAACTGAAACTGAATTAGAGAACACACTTATTAATACAGATAAAGATGCAGAAAATTCTTCCCAAGGTAATCAACTTTTAGTGGTTTTAAAACAACAAACAAATATATATATATATATATATATATATATATATATATATATATATATATATATATATATATATATATATATATCTATATATATACCATTAAGTATACATCAGAAGCACTTCATTGTAAGTTTTTTTAAACTATGGTCAAAGAATATAAATGCATATATTAACGATGGGAGTATTCAAATACTGGAATCGAGTAGTATATTCCTTACACAATCAAATATACTCGAGTACTTGAACTGGAAACCGATTGAGTACTGAATACTGAATACCTGCCGAATATAGAACAGTTGGAAATTACAGTAATGTTTATCTGTTTCTGGGACCTCGGTTCCATCTGAAAGAGTCTTGTCAAAGGCAGTACAATTAACGAACGATCGTTGAAACTGACTATTACCAAAAAACTTGGACAAAATTATATTTTTAAACAGTTTTTATTCCCAAGATAGTTTTTGTTTTATTTTTTTTTGTGACATATTCTAGAATGTTTTCTTATTTGATTTATACTTAATTTCTAGTTTTAATGTTAATTTAATATTTAAACTTTTTTTATTTTTTAGACAATAGTAGACTACTGAAAGTTTTTTTATTAACTAAATAATTACTTTATTTATACCAAAAACTTATACCAAATAATATATTTAAACACTTTTTTATTAGAAAAATTTTTGGTCTATTTTTTGTGATACATGTCTTATTTGTTTTCCAAAATTATATTTATTATAAAACAAAAAAAAAACATACGCAAAACACACAAATAATTGACAAACCTACTATTAATTCAAAATATGATAGCCACAGTACTCAGTACTTAATAAAGTATCCGATCCTGATTCCTTACTGTACTAGATTCCACTGTAACCGATTCCCATAAGTAATTGATTCTGACCATCACTAGCATATATGCCTCTGTATTATTTGCTATGGTATACTTATATGTCTCATCAAGCAAACTTTGCTCGATGATACAGCCTATACAGCCAACCACTTGCACTTTTAAGTTTTTTTTTGTTTGTTTTTAAAACAACATTTCAAATTTACTGAAAATGAATGCAAATGTAATTTATTTAATCAGTTTACAGAAATATACTATAGACATGGTTCACTTTAGTTTAATTGTAGTAGAACTGAATGTGGATTTTTTTTTCTGTTGTAATTCAGCTCTTACAAAAATTATTTTTTTTAGAAACAGCTGTTGAACATCAATATTTCTCACCAGAACTTAATACATCGAAATGTGATGAAACAGATCCAAATAGAATAAATAGTCCAACTGATACTTTAGATATCAGACCAGATCCAAATGAAATAAATAGTCCAGCTGATACTTCAGGTATGAATATATCAAAGAGCAAGGATGAATTGTTGAGTACAACATCAGAGATCTCTACTAGAAACCAGTTAGATGTAGTGAAAAAAGTAGAGCCTGTTGTGACCAACCATTTGCAAGTTTTTTTTTTGTTTGTTTTTAAAACAAATTTTAAAACAATATTTCAAATTTATTGAAAATGAATGCAAATATAATTTATGGCATCAGTTTACAGAAATATATTATAGATATGGTTCACTTTGGTTCAATTATAGTAGAACCGAATGTGGATTTTTTTGTCTGTTATAATTCAGCTTTTACTAAAATTATTTTTTTTTAGAAACAGCTATTGAAAATCAAGATTTCTCACCAGAACTTAATACATTGAAATGCGATGAAACAGATCCAAATATAATAAATAGTCCAACTGATACTTTAGATATCAGACCAGATCCAAATGAAATAAATACTACAGCTGATACTTCAGGTATGGATATATCAAAGAGCAAGGATGAATTGTTGAGCACAACATCAGATGTCCCCACGACAAACCAGTTAGATGTAGTGAAAAAAGTAGAGCCTGCTGTGACAGTACATATGAGATCATCATTACAGCGTATTTTACAGTATAATAGTGATGATTCCGAGGATGAAGACATTCAAACACCTTTAAAACCAGCTCTGGCATCCAGTTCATCATCTAGTGATAGTCAGTCAGATACACAGGAGGTTGACAATGGAGAAGAGGATGAAGATCTTGATGAGTATGTATAATGTTTAAATTTAAAAAATATTTCAGAAGCATCCTTTTGATTGTTATATGTAAATGGGATTTCATTATTCAACTCGCTGAGACTACTAGTAGTATTACTTATATATAATTGTATATCTGCTATGTTATTTTACTAAAGTAAGTAGTTATTCTTTGTTTTTTTTAGATATAAGTACAGTTTATCAGTTTAAAATCTATATTCCATCTAAAAATATCAGTTAATCCTTAAATAATGTTATTGAACCCTAATGTTTTGTCTCAAACTATCGTCGGAGCGGGATAAGTATTTATAAAATTATACTTATCCGCTGGACGTTTTGTAGGGGCATTGTCTTGAAAAAGACAAATGCCTAAGGGTTATTTAATGTAAGGAATAAAACAACCATTTCTAAGTAGAAAAAAACTCAGCTTCAGAGTCTTTTTAAACTTTTTGCAGAGTCCTCCAATGAGGAGCCCTGCGGCTACTCCGTAAGAGTAAAACCACGACTGACTGTAAATCGAAAATGTCACATATTTAAAGTATATTTAACTTTTATATGAAACTTTTACGATTTTTGACCAATAGAATTTATTAAAACTTCCAGAAGGAGGGACGATGCACGTCGATGCGCGAGATTGCGGCGCTCGGCGACATCCCCCCCGCTTTGGAGACTCTGAGGCTGATAAAAAAAGCTGATTTTATTAAAAGCATTAAGAAAACAGAATTTTTTACAAGTCAAAAAATAAATTTAAAAAAAATAATGCATAAAAATGGCAAAATTGAATGTTCAAATGTTATCAAAGTCATTACTTACAGTTTTCTTAACACAAAACTACACTCGCGTGGCACTGCACTGCACAAAAACACTCACAGGCGGTGGTCGGTGTTGTGGCCGGCTTCTGCAGGTCCCTCCTCGGCGATGTGGCCGGTCGTCCGCCGCTACGTCTCGTTCTAGCCCTTCAGTACCCTCTGCATGTCACCGGTGGTCCGTACGTAGGCGAGTTTACCTGAGCCTCCGTGGTGCTCCCACATACTGGTAGGGCAGGCAGTGACTGGCTACTCCGGGGACATCCATCGTGCATCAGGTACGGGATCAAGGTAGGTTGGCTTCGGAGAAGGTCACACATCGACGGTTACAGGTTGCAGAATGTTGGATATCGGCATATTAGTGTATAACATACTAATATCCGATCCTCTCCCCGCTGTTTCTTGAGTGGTTCTTGTTGCAGACCACGTGTAGGAATTTCTGCGATGGTGGAACGCTAGCATGAGAACTCTAACCACTCAGAGCGTGGTTACGTTCGAGTTTTGTTGGGCGCCATATCGTCGGAGCGGGATAAGTATTTATAAAATTATACTTATCCGCTGGACGTTTTGTAGGGGCATTGTCTTGAAAAAGACAAATGCCTAAGGGTTATTTAATGTAAGGAATAAAACAACCATTTCTAAGTAGAAAAAAACTCAGCTTCAGAGTCTTTTTAAACTTTTTGCAGAGTCCTCCAATGAGGAGCCCTGCGGCTACTCCGTAAGAGTAAAACCACGACTGACTGTAAATCGAAAATGTCACATATTTAAAGTATATTTAACTTTTATATGAAACTTTTACGATTTTTGACCAATAGAATTTATTAAAACTTCCAGAAGGAGGGACGATGCACGTCGATGCGCGAGATTGCGGCGCTCGGCGACAAAACCTTGTCTAAATTGGTTAATAGGGGTGTTTAATTTAATTTTCTCTAATAGTTATTAACGGAAGATGAATCATCTTAGATACGCAGATGACGTAGTACTAATAGCCGAAACATGAAATGCACTGAATACAATGGTTGAGAAGCTACACACAAAATCCCTAGAAAAAGGACTGAAAATGAATTTTAGCAAAACTAAACTAATGTCAAACAAAGATGACAAACCTATGGTAAACATCGAAGGGACAGAGATAGAACACGTAGATGAATATACATATCTGGGTCAAAATGTCAAGGTGAGCAAAGAAAATCAGAATACCAAAATAAGCAGATGTGTAAAAATGGGATGGGCAGCATTAGGAAGACTCTCATATGTACTTAAAAATAAAAAAAAGTCCTCAAAGACTGCAAACCAAAGTGTTTAATTCCTGTATCCTACCTGTGCTTACATATGGAGCTCAAACCTGGACATTTTCTAAAATAAACATGGAGAAGATCAGAAAAACTTAGAGAGCTATGGAACGACAGATGCTGGGTATTTCACTTAAAGACCATAAAACTAAAGAAGACATTCGTAATAGAGCAAAAGTAAAAGATGCTGTCGAACAGGCAGCTAAACTGAAATGGAAATGGGCTGGACATAAGGAACGTCTTACGGATGGCCGATGGAATAAAGAAATCGGGAATTGGCGGCCATATGAAGCCAAAAGACCACGAGGGAGACTGCAAATGCAATGGAGCGACGATATTAAAAGAACTGCAGGGCCAATGTGGAAACATCTTACAAACAACAGAGATGAATGGCGAGAATTAGGTGACACCTATATTCGGCAATCTGAATAGAGAAAAGGGCTTAAAAAATAGTTATGGGCAGTTTCTATAAGCGTAATCAGACATCAACCATCATTTTAGTTTATTCTGCAATTTATCTTAACCTCCCTCTAACTTCACTTTGTGAAACACATTTTCTTTTAACAAATCCAAGCACTGTATGCCTTCACAAACATTCTCCAACAATATGCTCTAAAAAGTGAACTTTCCATCAAATAAAATACCCATATCTTTATCCCTGTAGAAATTCTTCGAACAACCTGGTGTAATTATATTAGTGAACTGTAAAATGATGATAGACCCGAAGAACTGGAGACTTTAGTTGAAGGTGAAGGACCAGAAATAATAAAATCTGAAATACTGCATGCTATAAAGTTAGCAAAGAACAAGAAAGCCGTTGGCCCTGATATCATACCGACAGAGATGTTAAAGCTTATAAATAAAGGGAACATTGGAATACTGGTCAAACTTTTCAATGATGTTTATTCGACTGGTGATATCCCTGAAGATTGGTTAAAGTCCGAATTCATAACACTACCAAAAAAACAACGTCCAAAAAACTGTAGCGATTATAGAATGATAAACCTTATGAGCCACACTTTGAAAATATTTCTACGCATCATCCACAGTAGAATCAGAGATAAATGTGAAGAAGACCAGGATGAAACACAATTTGGCTTCAGAAATGGACTGGGAACTCGGGACGCCCTCTTTGCATTAAATGTATTACTGCAGAAATGTCGAGATCAAAGGAAATACGTCTTTGCTGTATTTATTGACTATGAAAAGGCCTTTGATCGAGTACAGCATCACAAATTAATTAAAATATTAAAAGATAAAGGAGTTGATAGTCAAGACATACGATTCATAGAAAAGTTATACTGGCGTCAAACAGCGACAGCTTGCATAAACGGAAAATCAACAGAAATATGTAAAATACAAAGAGGTGTCAGACAGGGTTGTATACTATCCCCACTGTTATTTAATTTATATTCAAATAGAACATTTAAAGAAGCGCTGCATAATTTGGAATGAGGCGTGAAAATTAATGGAATTCTGATAAATACAATCAGATAATCAGATAAATACAATGAGACATGAATGGATTACAATGCCTTTTAAATGCCATTGATAGAGTGGGAAGAGAGTTTGGCCTAAACATAAACTGTTCAAAAACAAAACACATGGTGTTTAGCCGTTTAGCACATCAAGATACACAATTATATGTTGATGGTCATATAATTCAAAGAGTGTCCAGTTTTAATTATCTTGGTTGCCATATTACTGAACAACTAGATCCAGATCAAAAGATAAAATGTAGAATCGAGATAGCCCGCACGAAATTTTTAAAAATGATGTCATTCTTCTGTAATGATAACTTGCAACTTCAACTTCGAAAGCGCATGGTTAAATGCTACATTTGATCAGTCCTCTTATACTGTGTCGAATCCTGGACATTAAAAATATCCACCATTAATCGTCTGGAGGCCTTTGAAATGTGGCTGCACAGATGTATACTAAAAATTCCATGGGCAGCTATGCTGACAAATGTGGCAGTCCTTGAGAGAGCAAATGCTGCTAGCGAGCTGCTTGATAACATCAAATGTAGAAAGATGGCCTATTTTGGACACGTAGGACGAAGGACGTAGGTAAAATCGAAGGACGCAGAGGAATTGGTAGAAATCAGGTCTCTTGATTGAAGAATATCAGGGAGTGGACAGGAATAAAGAAAGCTGAGCAACTCTTTAAAATAGCTCGAGACAGAGCTGTTTCGCCATGTTAATCGCCATCGTCAAGGGGACTTGATAGGGCACGTTAAAAAGAAGAAGAAATTCTTGTAGATTAAACAGACTGCTGTAAAAACAGCAGTGAAGTTAGATTGCTGTGGCATTCTTGATGTTACACTAAAAGTACCATCAACAGGAATGATTTTCACATACAGTTCAGCAATTTTATATAACTTATTTATTTTATAGTAATCTGACATTAATGTTTGAAAGTTTTACACTCATATAATTATTATTTATAACATTTATGTTTTTCTTTTTTTAATTATTAAGTAATAATTTATTTGTTTATATTTTAGGTTTGTACTCCCCAATGACAAACAGAAAACAAAAGTAATGTCAAATCCAGATTGTGAACTTTTAGATCCATCACTGTTAATAAATCTAACAAATCTAAAAATTGATTATGAAAAAGAAGAATTTACACATATAGGAAACATCGCCAATTTTATTGATACCACAGGTAATACCTGTAAAATTGTGTGGAATAATCTGAATAAATGAATAATTATTTTAGCCATTAAATATGGATAGTTGAATAGTTTAGTAAAAATATTCAAATAATTTTTTTTTCATTATATGTATTGGGCCGTATTTGTTTTAATATATTTTACATGTATTTATATGTGCTACAGGCCTTGTAGAATCTTGGCTTCCCCTTGTAGCAAAAACTTGGTTATTTTCCCTCCATTTTTTCTTGTCCCTCGCGTCTTCTCTCCAATCTCTCACACCTATTTCTGCCAAGTTCTGCTTTTCTGCTTCCAACCGTTTTTTCTTAGGACATCCTCTTTTTTCTCAATTTCTTCCTCCTTTAGTATTGTTAAATACATTAAATACAGGAAATTTTGGTTCTCTGAAACGAAAGCCAAAGAAATAGCCATCTAGCTCTTTGGGTTTATATTTTTGAAGTAATTATTGATTTTCCATACATCCTCGTTATTTCTTTATTTGTCATGTTCTGCAAATATTCTCTGCCATCTTTATTCCCCTGAATATTTTTTTAGCACCTTTCTTTCCTAGATCTCTACTTTCTTTTCCTTCTGCTAGTTCATAATTGATGTTTCACTGAGAAACAAAGAAAGAGCCATCCATCCATCTAGCTCTTTGGGTTCATATTTTTGCAGTAATTATCGGTTTTCCATACTCCTCATTATTTCTTTATTTGTTCATGTTCTCCAAATATTCTCTGCCCTCTTTATTCCTCCAAAGATTTTTTATATAATATCCATTTAATGTTGAATAAACATAATCTCAAGTAGGAAGCTGTCAGGAGAAATATATACATATGTGGTAAATATAATTTCAATTGCAAATGTTATAAAAAATTGGTTTCCATGTCAACAAAATAATTTAATTTTGACAAATTATACCATTAAGAATAGTTGTACATAGTTATGAAATGTTGATGTTATAAAATGTCACTATTATGAATTGTCTGTTACAATTTGTGGGTTTACCAACTACAGTGTTACAATATGTCTTGCCATCATTTATTGAAGACCATCCAGGTGGCCCAGAAACCTTTTCTATCTCATAAATCATCCATGAAGACCATGATATGATCATGACAGATCTTATAATCAAAGTCCATGAGATAGCAGAGGCTCTAAACATGAACATACGATCATATATACAAACATTTAGATATGAAAAAGCTATCTGCATAGTGGACGGCACATTTTCTTCAAATTTCGTCTTTATCAGAGGAGGTTGGCAAACAATGTCATCGAACTGTGTATGGTTTTCTTTCATTATTGGGAGTGTATGTGAACTTAATCCTCCTCCTCCTTTAGCTGGAGTATCTGAAATATCGCAGAAAATGGATAGAAAACGGGGTAAAACAGGATTTTAATTTCAACGCTAGAAATTGAAGAATTAAAACAAAAAATTGCAGAAAAAGACGCCGGAAAAGGGAAAAGGCAAGTTCGTGTTTCAACTACAAGTCGTTCTGAAAATGGTTGTGAATGCTCTTTTGAAGAAGATGACTTGGACAATGCACCTTGCATTTACTGCAATGAACTATTTTGTCATTCACGATCCAAAGAAAAATGGATTCGTTGTCAAGTGTGTAACAATTGGTGTCACACTAAATGTGCAGATGTAAATCCTCGTCATAAACAATTTTTGTGTGAATTGTGCACATATTTTTTTGATTCTTAAAAATACGTATTTCTAATATTTTTTATCGTTTGTGTCTTTATGTTTTTTGGTTTAATAAAATAATTTGGTAAAAATATTTACTTCTTTTGTACAAAATGCAATGAGTCCATCATGGGCGTATCAAGGGGTAATCCTTAACAGGATTTTAGTAAACTAAGAATACATTTTTATGATCACTTCTTATGCAACATTTAAAACATTTTTGTATATTTTATAAATAACAAGATGTTATGTGGTCATATTTAAAGTTAATAATTAAAGTTAATATGAAGCTATATATATATATATATATATATATATATATATATATATATATATATATATATATATATATATATATATATATATATATATATATTCTAAAGGGATCCATCATAGGAACATTTTCCCTATTATTTAAAATATCTTATTGGAATTAAAATAATGAATCTTAGTGGACAATAAATAAATATAAACCTTAATAAAAGAAAAGTACAATAAGTAACTTAATATCTGAACACGCATTTCTATTAATTAATTTTCCACACCAAACCATAATAAAAATATAAAAATTTCTTCATTTTCTCACATTATCTTTTGTTTTTAGTAACAGTCGAAGCTTTAGAGAAGACAGAATCATACGACATGGATACAGTTCTGTTTATTGAAGATGAAAATTCCAAGAAACCATTTGGCGGTATTACCGATGTTATAGGCCCCGTGTCACAGCCAGTATATTGTGTACAATTACCTAGCACTAAAGAAATCGAAAACCTTGGACTTAAACAAGGAATGAAGGTTTATAGTGCTCCGAAAAGTGAATATGCCAAATACGTATTTCTAAAGGACTTATTAAAGTAAGTGTTTGTGTAGGAAATATAAAATTAGCTGGTTAATTAATTAAAGCAGTAAAAAAATGTATCTATCTATACAGCCCTTACTAATTTCATTTTTCCACGTCTCTCTATTGTAGGCAGTTTTTATCCACTTCGGGCCTGCGTGTTTCTTCAAGTCATCTGACCATATCATTTGTGGCCTTCCTCTGTTTCATTTGTAACTATATGGTCTCCAGTGTATAATCATCTTATTCTATCTGTTGTCTTTCTGTCTTATGGTATGTCCAGCGAACTTCCACTTAAGTTTTGCTATCTGCGTTGATACATCGGTCACTTTTGTTTTTTTTTGCGAATCCAAGCATTTCTTTTCTTGTCTGATAGCCTGATGTTTAGCATTTGCCTTTCCATGGCTCTTTGGGTCTTTGCTATTTTTTTAATGTTTTCCTTTGTAAACGTCAAAATTTGAGAACCGTAGGTGAGAACAGGAAGTATACATTGGTTGAAGACTCTTGTTTTTAAATGTTGGGGGTATTTTCTATTTTTTAATATATAGGAAAGTTATCCGAAAGATATCCAAGCAAACCGTTCTCTTTATGTCTCCGGTCTGATTTTCTTTATTTAATTTAACTAGTTGTCACAAATATACATATTCTTTTACTTGGTCTATAGTTGTTTGTGCAATTGTAATGTTAATTCTTTTGGTTGATTGGTCATAATTTTCGTTTTATTATAATTCATTTATATTCTTATATCTATTTTTGTTGATTCCCTATTTAATTCATCCATCATATTTTGTAATTCTTTCCTTTTATCTGTTATTAATACAATGTCGTCTGGATATCTCAAGTGATTCAAATATTGGCCATTTATGTTAATACCCCGTTTTTCCCATTGTAATTTCCTCATAACGTCTTCCAAAGCTTGATTGAATAGTTTGGGTGATATTGACACTATATATAGTATCACCCTGTCTGACTCCTCGCCGTATTTTAATAGGCTCCGTTTGTTCAACTATTTTAATGGATTTTGTTGCTTGATGATATATATTGGAAATTAAATCCGTATATCTATAGTCTATTCCTTCATTTTGTAAAGAGTTCTTTACTGCCCAACGTTCCACCTTATCGAATGCTTTTTCAAAGTCTACAAATGCCATATAGATTGGGATTTGATATTCGTTGGCCTTTTCAATTAATATTTTTATCGTAAGCAAATGGTCGCTTGTACTGAATTCTTTTCTAAAACCGGCTTGCTCTCTTGACTGGTAATTATTTACCTTAGTTGTTAATCTGTTTGTTTAGTATAAGCTAATCCTTAGTAGTTTAGTTAACAGTTTGTACATTACATTAAGTAGCGTTATGGGCCTATAGTTCTTCAGATCTTTTCTATCGCCTTTCTTAAATAGTAATAGTGTTATTGCCTCGTTCCATGTGGTGGGTATTTGTTTTGTGTTCAATATTTTATTCATTAGTACATAAAGGTGTAGTGTTCCCTCCATTTTTTAGCGTTTCCATAGTTATTCCATCTTTCCCAGGAGATTTGTTATTCTTCATTTCTTTGAGTGCCTTTTTTATTTAATTTTTACTGATTTCTGGTTGTAGGTGAGAGTTAACGTTCTTTATTTTCAGTTGTAACTTGGTTTGTTAATAGTTTTGTTTATTTCTTTGTATTCCATTTAATTTCTGTCCCCTTGTTCTAGTAATGTTCTTCTTGTGTTCATAAGAATCTTTGTTTCCTGGGATATGAAACTTTATTTTTTTGTTGTTTTCTGCGCTATTTCTTTACCCACTTTCATTAGAGTTTCAGTAAATATCATGTTTATTTCATCGATATGTTTGTGTTCTATATCTTCTTTGGCCGGCAATATTTCCTTTATTCTCTCTTCGTGCGTCTGTTTTCCTTGTTTTAGTTTTTCCATATCTAATTTCTGATTATTTTTCATTTTTTTCTTGTTTCAAATCTACTATCAATGATCAGCTTGGCTCGGGCTAGTCTATGGTCGCTACCAGTTGAGAAGCGATTTAAGGCTGTTACGTCTTTAACCATGGATTTTTGCGTTGAAAGAATATAATCAATTTCGTTTTTAGTTTCACCATTGGGACTAATCCATGTCCATTTTCTTTGAGGTTTTTTCTTAAAGAATGTATTCATTGCATATAGTTACTTCTCCTCCAAGTAATTCATCAATGTGTGTCCTCTATCATTTCTTTTGCAGTATCCATGGTGTCCTACTTTGTCTTCTTCTTTATATAGTTGTTCTCCTATTTTGGCATTAAAGTCCCCGATTATTAGCGTTTATTTTGATTTCTTTTCTTTCATAGATGTTTGTCTTTGTAGAAATGTCCAATATCTTCATCGCTGTAGGTACTTATTGGAGCGTAAACCTGTATGATTTTTAAGGACGTTCTTTTTAATTTAAGCGTCGTGTATGCTACTCTATCGGATATGCCCTTGGTAGATTGTATCTATTTAACTACTTTTTTATTTATAGTTGTTATTGTATCTTCCTTCTCTAGTTTGGTTCTTATTAGCTTTAAGGATTTTTACAGAGGCACATTAGTGAATAGGTTAGTGGTGTCAAAACTAATAATAAAATTTTTCTGGCAATTAAGTGCCATATGTCATATGTCATAATTTTTTTAATCCATTGTATAATTTTAACTTCGCTCGGAAAGATATACACAAGGGCACCTGGAAATCACCTAGACGGACTTACAGTAAATTTGATAGATCATATTCTTGTATACTCTATTCGCTAATTGTAGAATATTAGCTTGCAATTAGTCATCAGAACTGTAATATATAAAAGTGGGAAAATCTCAGTAGTTGGCTGTATACCATAGTTTAAGAAAAACTTACAAAGTCAGTCACAAACAATCATTTGGCTTATTTCACCCGGCAGGCAGAGTAGTCCCCGATTTTCAAACAGAGAAAAAGTATGTTCCCTTTCGGTGATATCTATCTCATAACATCACCTGTTGTCATCAACCTAAGTAACACTGACACTTCAAATCAGTAGCGTGGCGCGCTAGCTATCTTTTATAAATCGCGTTTTCAATAGCTGGCAACTCTAATTTTTGACCATTTTTTCTCAAGCAAAGTTATATCATCACATTAAGACAAAAAATTAGCTATAATTTGATATAAAAAACATGCGTATACGTCATGAACAGCGTATTTTATTTAAAAAATAAATGAACGAAATAAAATTTTTGTCAAAAATGAATTACTATTAATTGATTAAAAATATTTGCGGCCACTTATTGACTGGCATCCTATTACTAATAAGTTCACCTAATTTTAAATGTGTGTAAAAATGTGAGTTTACTTAACTGCCTGATGAACGTAGTGATCCTGCACAGTGGAATCTAAGGCTAATAGCTATACTCGGTTCACAATTTGTTGATAGCTCACTACAAGTTTAATCCTAATTATATATATATATATATATATATATATATATATATATATATATAATATATATATATATATATATATACAATAGCACTAAAGGCCTTAGAGGCCCATGGCTTAAAAAAATTTTGTTCTTTCTTCATTTTCGCTTTCCTTTATGTACTGAGATCTTCTCTGGCTCGATATGTGACTTTTCTCTATTCCTTCTTGTTATTCATTTTTCTTTTCTGGCCGTCTAGTCCAATTTCTTCCATATCTTTTTCTACCTCCTGATTCCATCTATTTTTTGGCCTTCCTTTTCCCTTTTTTGAAGTTATATTGTAGTTTAGTACCCTTTTTGGAGTCCTCGTGTTTGGCATCCTTTCTAGGTGACCTCGCCATCTTAGTCTCTGTGCCTTTATGACTCCTATTATGTTAGGTTGATTATATAATTTCTGTAACTCATCATTTGATCTTCTTATCCATAAACCGTCCCTTATTATTCCTCCATATATCTTCCTCATGATTTTCCTTTCCCATATCTCCAGTAGATTTTGTTCATTTTTTGTCATTGTCCACGTCTCACTGCAGTATGTTGCTATTGGTTGTATAGTTGTTTTGTATAACTGTATTTTTGCCTTTCTTGATAAAAACTTGCTTTTCAACATTCCACTAAGAGCATGTACACTTCTATTGCCTGCCATTATTCTAGCTTGTATTTCTTCTTTAATGTTAGGTTTACGTGATATTATTCTACCTAGGTATGTAAATCTTTCCACCATTTCGAATTCTTATGATAATCTTTCTTCTACTTCTACTTTAAACTTTTGTCAACCCCTAAACTGATCATCTGTCCACTGCATACATTTTGTTTTAGTTTCATTTATGTAAAGTCCCATTTTCTTTGCTGCTAGGATATAGGAGTCCTTCTCTATTAATTCTCGCTTATTCTCGCTTCTCGCATTATTTTTTCTAGGCATAAATTGAAGAGTAATGATGACAAAGGATCGCCCTGCCTTAATCCTTCGTTTACTATAAATTTGTCCGATGCATGATTGTTGACTTTGACTCTGTTTTCTGTATTCTCTAAAGTAAAATGTATCATGTTACGCAACTTTCTGCTAACTCCCAGTTCCTCAAGGGTCTCTTTTAATTCCTTCCTTTTTATTCTGTCGCATGCTTGCTGGAAGTCGATGAATAGCGCTATCGTTGGTAAGTTGTGTTCATAGCCTTCTGCTTGTAACTCTCTTATTATGAATACTTGGTCCGTTGTGCTTCTCCCTCGTCTAAATCCACACTGGTATTCGCCTATTATATTTTCAGCTTCTTTTTCCAGCTTATCTTTTATCGATTTTGATAGTATTTTATATATGGTATTTAGTAACGCTACTCCTCTGTAATTACTGCATTCTGTTTTGTCTCCTTTTTTGTGTAATGGACAAATAATGGCTTCCTTCCAATCTTCTGGTATTCGTTCTTTTATCCATATCTCTTATGATCTTGCATATCCAATTATTTAGCAGTTTTCCACCATATTTCATCATCTCTGCATCACTTCCAGGGGATTTGTTGTTTTTCAGATTTTTTATGATTTCCTCGATTTGTTTTTTGCTGGGTGAATTATCTTCTATGTCGTCTACGTGTTCAATTCTTGCTTCTGCTTCCATATATTCTCTTTGGTTTGACTTATTATTACCATTTAGTAATTCATCAAAATACTCTTTCCATCTTTCGACTATTTCTGCTTCCCCGCTTATATTATTTCCTGCTTTGTTTTTAACGAATATGGGTTTTTGTTGGAAACCTTCTTTTTCATTTCTAGCACCTTGATACAGGTTTTTTATTTTTTTATTTCTGTAATTCTCTTCTATTTCTTTTAGCTTATTTTCTATGTGTTTTCTCTTCTTTTCTCTCAGCACCCTCTTTACTTTTTGTCTTTGCTCCCTATATCCATTCTTTGTCTCTATTGTTTCTTTCGTGATCATTTCCATCCTTAATGATTTTCTTAGTTCTATTTCTTTTTGGCACTCTATGTCGAACCAGTCTTTCATCTTTTTATTCTCTTGTTTATCACTTTATCACATTCTTTTGCTGCTTTGTTCATTATTTGCTTTATGTTTTCCCATTTGTTCTCTCTGTATGTTCAGGCAATTAAGTTAACTTAATTGCCTGATAAACGTAGTGATCCTGCACAGTGGAATCTAAGGCTAATAGCTAAACAATACGAAAAACCTTACTGATCATGCTCATGACTTATTTCATTTATTAGTTGCCAGATTATAGCATGTTAGGTTTGTAATCTATTTCTGTTAGTCTTTGCAACAGTTTGCTCACATTTTCTCAAACAGTTTTAGTGCTTATTCTAAAACTATTATTTTATTAGAAGTATGACGATATATACTTAAACTATTTTTGAAATATTTAAGCTTATATTAACATATTTTTAGAATGAAAGGTACGGACGCTTCTTGGATTGGAGATCAGGAGCAACCCAGTGATGAAGATAACACTTCTGAAGAAGAAGATGATGAAATGCGAACATCAAACAAACGTCCACTTAATAGAGGACAACATCAGAGACCATTCAACAATAGAAATCGTTTTAGAGGAAATATGGGAAATAGAAATAATGTGATAAATAGGTCAAATATACCAACTGCCCCGAATGGTCATATGTTGCCCCATGGGTTCGATCCAACAGTACCGCCTCCATTTGTGTCGAATACAGGGTAATTAATTTTTAGAAGTTTAAGTTATTTGTATATTTGTTATTGAAAATGCAGCAGTTGTTTTCCAGAATATTCTTCATAAAGTTTAATGCATTTTTTCTCGCGCTTGAATTTTTAAAGTAGTTTGACCCCTACTGATTAGATATCTCTAGACCTTGTTGTAAATGCAAGATATATTTGTTGAACAGGAATAAAATTTTCTGATGTGGTACCAAATCAAGATTAAATGGATGATACAATAATTTTTATGAGTTCTTTGTTGTTCTAATGACATATTGGCGACTAGTGCGATTTTTCCAAAATGTAGGGGTTAATCTGTTTTGTTGTTCTTTGTTAGTGAACAAATTGTTTTTTACAGTTGTTTTAACAGGTCTCTTACTGAATATTTATATGGAGGTGAATACATTTATTGGTAGACTTTTACGAAAGTCTACTAACTTAACTTAACTTAACTATATTGGTCCCATGCTTATCTTGTTACACAACTGAAAGTCCACTGGCATATAAACTTGCCTCGTTGAAAGTCTGATCATAAAAATGATCGAACGGTTTATTAGAACCCGTTTATATTTTGTAAACTTTTTGCGAAGTAGCTCCTTTTGATTTGCATGTGAAATAGTGTGTAGGGGTCATCTTCTTCTTGTAGTGCCTATCTGTTTCGGATACTGGTGACCATCATGGCAATCTGTATTTTGCAAACTGCTGCTCTGAAAAGATTTGTGGTTGTTATGTTGAACCACGTACGTAGATTTTTTAGCTAGGAAATCCTTCGCCTTCCTGGTCCGCGTTTTGCTTCTACTTGGCCTTGTAGTATTAATTGCAATAAACTATATCGTTCGTTGTTCCTCATGATGTGACCGAGGTATTCTATGTTGGCTGTTTTTATTGTGGTCAACAACTTCTTTTCCTTTTTGCATTATTAGTGAAACTTCCTGGTTAGTCAGGGTGCGTTCATTACGGAGACCATCGCATCGTATCCTCGTATCCTATCGTGGGCAACTCGTAGTGTCGATCGTAGAGTACTAGAAACGGGAATCGAAAAAATACTAAGCTGGAATACTATGGTCCAAGTCCATCTTATGGTCCGACCGAGGGTCGGCGCTTCATTATGAACGCACACTAACGTGGTTGGTATAGGATGTCTTCAGCTTCAACTCCGTACATTACTATAGAAAAGATATAACATCTTAGTAACCTGATTTTTATGGGTATTGCTTTCTCTATCCTACATTTGATTTCTAATGAATGGTCCCAATTTCCATTGATGTTCGTACCAAGATAGGTCTATATTTTGACTCTTTTTATTGGTTGACCATTCACACTGATTCTTTAAATTTGCTGTTCCTTCTTAGAGATCATCATACATTTTGTTTTCTTAATGTTCAGTGAAAGTCCATATCTGTGATTTACTTCTGTGATTCTATTCATTAACTCCTGGAGGGCTTCGTAACTGTCAGCGAATCCCACTGTGTTATCCGCGTATCTGATGTTATCGGATTCCCCTGCCTCTGTACGGATAGACGATATTTGATTCCAGTAACGATTACTAATAATTCTTAGCTCGCAGTTGTTTATTCCAATATTTGTTAATATCTCGATCAGCTTGTCGTGTTTTACTGTATCGAACGCTTATGGTAATCAATGAAGCACTCATAAATATCGAAATTCACATCACTACATCGTTGAAATAGCACTTGTTTGCTAAAGAGAGCCTCTCTCGTACCCACTGCGTTCCGAAAACCAAAATGTGTACGGCTGACTATTTCTTCTCATAGTCTATATATTGTTTGATGTATGATTTTTAGAAATAACTTTACAATGTGGCTCATTAAGCTGATGGTCCGGAAATCATTGCAGGATACAGGTTTTTTCTTTGGTAGAGCAATAAACGTTGACTTCAGCCATGATCCTGGTATTTCTTCGTTTAAATATATGTCATTGAATATTTTTGTTAATCTTTGAGTATCGTCGATGTTAAATAGCTTTATGAGTTCAGCATATGCGTTCTCAGGTCCAGACGCTTTGCCATCTTTTAGTTGTGATATTGCTTTTCCCCTTCATTTGATGTGATTGGTAAGTTGTCATTATATATGTAGGACGGGGCCATACTTTAAGAAATTCCTACCTTGCAATGGCTCATTTTCTGCATCAGTTTAAGGATTAAAAATGAAACCGCTTAATCTGTGCTCTTGGTTCGGTTCCTAGTTGCACAGTTTTTGCTTTGTCTTTACAATGAACATCTTCATCTGCTTCCAATACTGAAGTCCAGCAAATTAACAATAATTTATTTTATAGTATACTCTTTTAAATATTAGAGACAAGATAAAAAGTCTAGGTTTCTGATGGTCTACCGTTTTGTTGCTCGTTGAATAATAGGTAGCGATTATAATTTGAGGAATTTCTCTTTTTAAGTAATGCTCCATTTATCTCTACATCAGTTCAAGTATAAATGGTAAGGCGGCTAGGTCTGTAGCTTTTGTTTTGATTCCTCGGCTTACTGACGTCCTTCACATTAAATGCATGCACTTTCTTTCAGTATTGAAAAATATAATCCAGGGTGCAACTGTAAGAGTTAGCTCTACCAGTATTGGGGCTATTATTTCGATTTATGGTGTTTATGTCAGCTTACAGCTCATTGAACGTTATCTCGTGTAAAAAAAGGGGCTCGCATGTACGTAATAAATACTATTTACTGATATAGAAGATAAAAGATGGGTTCTTGGACTGGACTAAAGAATCTTTATTTGATCCAGCCCGTATATTCTTATCATTTCCTGGCGGGTTATGGACTTTCTATTTCCTTCAGACGAGATTCTATAGAAAGATACTCAATCCCCTTAACAGAATCCTTTTCAGATTATCGTTTTTGATTTTCATATGGTCTTATTTTAGTCAGTGTTGGAATTCGTGTAGTCATCCCAAAACCCGATTGTCTCGATTAGAACATGGCGGATCTGTGAAAAAACGACTACATTTGGATTTGACAGAGGCCATTCGGATTTTTGCAGAAAAAGTTGTGGGTTAGCTTTATTAATAATAATTGACTTATCCTCCCTCTGACACAGGTCGGGAATATTAATGAAAAAATTAAAATATTAAAAAATTACTAAAACGTTTCCTTGCGATTAACTTTAAAACAATTAATTTTGGAACAAAGCCGTAATGAAAGAAAATAGTAACAATTAAATTTTCTACAAGATGCGACTGTTTAAAATTATTTTAGTTTAAGGAAAAGGCAGCTAAGATTTGATTTCACGTATAGTGCGTCTGTATATCCGCTTATATATCTTCTTCTTCTGGTTCCTATCCGTTTCGGATGTTGGAAATCATATTGGCAATCATAACCTTGCTCGCTGCGGCTCGAAACAGCTCCGTTGAGGTTTTCTTAAATACGTTCTTAAATTCCACAGCCATGATAGTCTCCTTCTACTGGGTCCTCGCTTACCTTTGACTTTACCTTGCAATATAGACTGTAGCAGGGAGTAACGGTGCTGATTTCTCATAACGTGTCCCAGATATTGCAATTTTATGCGTTTGCGCTTATATGTATTTCACCCTAAAAGGGATATTCAGAGGCGGCTACTCAAAGACGCTCTGAACGTGAAAATAAATCTTTCCTGTCGTAGTAGAAGCAACACTAACATGGCTTCGTATGGACGCAATAGCCACATCTGATAATAAATCCGTAAACAAATTTTTCGAAACCAAATTCAGATTTCTGCTTTAATCTGTACCTTCTAAGAATTGCAAGGCAAAACAAACGTTGATAAAGATGTTATTAGAGACATGGGGAATCTAAAATTGCATTCCACAACATATCTCTTCAACTAAGCAAAAATCCTTAGCGAATTGGTTTCTCTAATATACTCCAATATACTCTGTATGAGTACTAGAAACCAATTCGCTAAGGATTTTTGCTTAGTTGAGGAGATAAGTTGGGGAATGCAATTTTAGATTCCCCATGTCTCTAATAACATCTTTATCAACGTCTGTTTTGCCTTGCAATTCTTAGAAGGCACACATTAAAGCAGAAATCTGAATTTGGTTTCGAAAAATTAGTTTACGGATTTGTTTTAGTTATTACCCTTGCTGCAAAATAGCAATGAATACAAAAAACGAGGAAGAAACAGGCCTTTTCTTATTCAATGTTTTTCAACCAGTTAAATTGCACTTAGCACCGAAATTCAATATGAGTGAGTCAGATAAAATTAAATTATTACAAGAATGTTTCACCAAGTAACAAAAAACAAAATTTGTTTAATGTATTAATTAGTGTTTTATATTTTAAGAACGGTTTCCGAAGTGTAAAAAGTAGTCTTTTTTATATATTTCGAAATAATTTTTTTTTAATATATTTTTTCAGATTCGGGTTTCAGAATCACGGTTCTTCGATACCGACCTGGCCGTATCAACAGCGTGGATTTCATACGTATTTCCAAAGTCCACGGAGGTTTCAACGTATTCGAGGAAACCATAGGAACTATAACAAAAATTTGCCTCCCAATTCGTGACCAAACAATATTTGATATAGTCTTAGTCAATAAAATTAAAATGTTTCTATGTATAAATAAATGTTTGTATATTACAAATCTTAAAGGTTGTAGTTTACTTGAGACAATGAACATAAAAATAACTTTAAAGGCGTGTAAATGAATACCTCAATGAAAAATGGTTTCTAAAATTTGATTCTATTGCATACAAAATGAAAATAAAATATATGAAACATACAGTCAATATTATAAAGATCCTAATTACGGATTAAACAAAGCGAATTAGTGACAAAAATAAAGAATAACCTAATTCCTAGAATCCTTTTCCTAGTATTACAGTATCCTCTACATAAAGAAAGAACATTCTATTTGTTTCTCGCTGGTTTTAGTATATTATCATCACCCCACTTTAGTGCACTACAATATACTTTAACGGCTACACTCTTGCATTTTTCTGGCTTTTATTCAGACTAATTTTATACTATATATTTTAAAAATGGATAAGTTCTTCAAGATACGCTCCGTCAAAACACAAACACACATGGCATCAGCTAAGTGACGATAATTTGGAGATCCGGTTTACAGGGTTGCTATAAGCCAAAGCGTTAATATTTTAATTAAAATAATAAATACTCTCGATTAAATTTAAACCTCATATTTTGGTATTTAAGAAATAAATAATAGTTTATAGTAGGTAAACAATTTATAATTTATAGTAAATAAATTATTATGAAATATAAATATAATTTTGTATATTTCCATAAAAAAATTAAACTTAACTTCAAGGACAGTTTTCATGATGATGATAATGATAGTGTGTTTGGCATGGAAACTAGTCCTTTTGCCACAGATTTTTAAATGATTTATGTTATGTTTATCAATTAAAAACTTGATTGTACTAAATTTATATTATATATCCGGATGCATATGTATAAGTGATTACATATGAGTTCGTATATAGATTTCTGATTCAATGACAGTAGGTGGGTTATGTTTACTGGAAGTTGCACATTAATTTTAACCAGGTTTTCATAAAACGTAGCTGAGAGTGCTTTATTTGTAATACATCCAAACAGGATGTGATTGATATCACACTGGGAAATATTATCGCATAAACACTTTCCTGATTCTATAATGTTTAATCCAGCCAGGTGAACAGGAACAGCACCGTAACTAGTTTTTAATCTTGTGGTAGTTGCTGCTGATCGTTTAGATATATTATAATGGAATATGTGTGGTAATTCTGTTAGGGATGGTAACGTAGGATGGATCTTGTAATAATGATTATTTGAAGTATTCGCCAATATTCTCCATCTGTCTTGCCAGTTAAAATTTATTTTTTTATTATAAAAATTGATTAGGTCTGATACTGTGTAAATATGTTCTTGTATACCTGAATGAGTAGGATTCTTACCGAGCTCGTTTACTATTTCATTACCTTTTATCCCGGAGTGACTTTTTGCAAAAATAAATGTTATATCTTTGTTTCTCATTTTTTGTTTAATGTCACATATCAGCTCACATGTTTTATAGTTGAACTCAGTATTATTAAGTCCACTATGAATTGACTTAGAGTCTGAGATGATCACAGCATCTTGCAAATTTGCGTGCTCTAGCCAATCCAGAGCTTTCCTAATAGCTACCGCTTCTGCAGTGTAAATAGAGCAATGTGGAATAAGCTTTGTTTTAAGTGATTTGTTTTTGGAAGGAATATACACTGCAGACACTACTTTCCCATCGTTCAGTTTAGAGCCATCTGTGTAAATTATAGTTTTATTAGTATAATCACTCAATATGGAGTTCAACAGCTTGTTATTTATTTAAGTAATATAATAATATAAGGACAGTTTTCAATATTTTAATTTTATTATAATTTTAAAATCGAATTAACATACTTATTTTTCTGTAAGAAAATGTATGATAAGGCATTAATATCAAAAGTTCCAGACAAAGTTTTTACAGGGGTTTACGCTTAGAATTTCAAGATATTTTCCGGCAAAGGCCGAAGCTTAATAATTGTACATTAAGTATTGGTACTGATTTTTTTGATGGTTGTGTATTAGTATGATATCGTAAAATAGGAAAACATGTCACAAGTTGCTCGTTCACCTGTGTTAACCACTTTGCAACTGTTATTTACAATTGCTAGTCAACTGTAATAGAGAACTCGCATGAAATTACTTTTTTATAATTAATTTTAAAAATTGTTTTTCGTGATGTGCTGTCAGTTATAGATATGTATGTTATTAAAATATTATCTCTTATAATTTATTTATTTTGAGTTAATAAATTACTACTACTACTACTACTATAGCTCCTACGTGGGCGAAATGTATTCAACATATTATAAAAGAAGAACGCCAAAAATGTGGATACACGTTTACTCATACAGAACTTTTATTCTAAAAAACTATCGGTACTGCTATCATCAGCGGTATTTTTTTTGTAATAGATTCCTGTTGGATCTCTATTATATTATCCACTTCCCACATTTTTGGTTCTATACAACATGTTTGCCATTTTTGTGGAGTTATGTTTGACACAACCTCGTTAAATAAATGTTTTACATCTGGGAACTTATAAGTCGTGTTTTTGACTGCTACGAAATTTTTGTTATTCGTCCATATTAGTTCGATGGGATTGAACTCATAACGATATGAAGGCTGTTACAAAACAATTTTTGGCTTTTAGTCAGTTCGTGAGCTATACATGTTTTTATTATAAAATTTATGTTCCTTGACAATGGATAAAATTGTACACTTTAAAAAGCGAATCTTCAATAGGAATATTTTTTTAATTCAAATCAAAATCTATAACTTCAGACCTTTTTGACGCTGTCGTGTGAACTCGATTTATTTTCCATGAATATTAGGATGCATTATTTAAAACAATACTCGATTTATCCTCCAAAGTTGGTAAAGTTTTTTGGAACCAAATTCAAATTACATTTCCTCTTGATAGTCTCCACTTTTTTTTCGATTAAACTGTCCACATTTTCCAGGCACAAACCCTTCTTTATTTCCAATACCACCCAGAATAAGATCTTTACCTGGAAACTAAACTAACTTATTCTACCGTCAAAAAAGCTTGCCATGATGAAGTAACTGATCGAGTATGATCTGCATTAATCAAAGTCTCATCCAAATAATATATTTTCCTCTTGTCGTTCCTGATATCTTAATTTTTGAAGCGCAGCCATACTGGTGTATTAGTTTTTTTCTACATTAAAATGCTGAGGCGAGCGGCACGGACCTAACATCACAAAATAACGTCGTCACGGGTAGGGTCATAAAATAACGGTTCTTCGTATAGATTCACTACTCTCGATGAATTCGTTTCTATAGACAAATTAACGAGAGGATTACAGTACAGTGCTTATGAAAAGCGACGTTGCCGCTAAGCACGTTCAAAGTCTGCAGGCCCTCCTGTACGATAACATTAAATCGTACAATCCTATTAGAAGTAAATGTAACATTATTTACAACTTCAAGATTTTGCAAATTACACAAAATTTAATAAAACTATTTTCTTTGAAATGTTTTTTACTAAATTATACAGGGTGTAACAACAGAACGGGGTCTACTAGGGAAACTGCTACAAAAAAACTTCGTAGCTCCTTAGTGGCTACAAATTTAAATTGTTAATTTATATACCGACAGGATATATACCAACTTGGATCAATTATTGCTATTAACAGTCTCAACAATTATTACAAAGAAAAGTGTGTATACACCAAAGAATAAAATTACGCTAATAAAAGAATAAAACTTTATGTAGCCTAAACGCTACCTAATGAATAAAGATAAGACTTACAATAACAATGTCTGGTCTCTACTCCATTTCGGAAAAATCGTCCTCACTGGAACTGCCGGTGTTGGCTGTGATAATCACCGGTAGGAAATCTTCTTCTAGGTTGTCAGCTATCCACATTTCTTTTTTAATTCTGATGACATGCTGTATATAATTTTGCCACTGTTCATAAAATATATCCTCTCGTAACCATTCTTGAATTTGTTGTTTGTTCCAGTACCTTCTTGGGAAATTTTGTTTGCATGAATGATATGGAGCATTATACATTACTACCACATTTTTTTCTCGTTTTGGGGGTTTTTGCGATTTATGCTGAATTTGGTAGAAAACCTCTATGAGATCCAACATGTAACAAGACAAATCTCGGACCTTTTTGTTTTGGATTATTTAGACCAGTAGCCAAGCCTTTTAAAAATGCATCCTTATAACTGGTTATGGTTGAATCCATCCATACCTTATTTACTGAATGTCCAATATTTACCCAACTTTCATCCAAATATGTAGAAAATATTTCTTAGTAGTATCCTTGATTTCGATAATTCTGTATTTTTCTAAGAAATTTATGCCTCCAATTTATTATGTCACGACGTTCCATCATTACTGCTCTCTTTCCTCTTTTTTTCATAAACAAACCCCATCTCTCGCAATAGTCGATATAGAGTACTTTTGGAAAATTTAGACAAATGTTCGTGTAAATTAACGGCATCCAGGATAGCTTTGATTGTGGGAGGTATGTTCTTTAAGAAAAATTCCATGTGAACAAGTCTTCTCAATTGGCTCCTGATATTTTCATCGTAGCTAAACTCCCGATTGGTTTAGATCTTGGTCCGTTTACGTGGGCTTTTCAGAATTTTGGGTAAGTCTCCATTATGATCCAATCGTCCTGACGAATTTTCCAGACTGTCGTATCGCTAACACCCAGCGCTGTATTTGTTGTAGAAACAATTTGTGTTGGAGTCAGATCGGAATTTGTTTTTGTCGAATATATTAACATATTCAAAATAATTTGTCGCGCATATAAATCTAAGATTTGTCCTTGTTTGAAACTTTCACCTCTAAATGCTCCATGTTTTTGACACAGTACATAAAAAAAGTTTAAAAATAAATTGCATTTATTTTTTGACAAGTTAACGTACCTTCTCGAATGCACACACAAAACAGTTAAACCGTTTCTACAAACTGCAAAACTGCTATAGATATACGCACTCGTATATCAATTAGTTGATACTATTAGCAGGAAAATTCTAACGTAATTCGGGTAATAACGTAACGTGCAACAGAGTCTTATAAACTCG